ACATACATACATACATACATACATACATACATACATACATACACACACACACACACACACACTGGTTGATCAGACCATTTTGAGACACGAGGGAAACATAAAATACATTTTCCTAAACAAAACTACAACAAAAGACCAAACTAATCAGCACCATACTCAGTCAGCAACCTATGAGGAAGAGGACTTAAACATTAAATTAATTTTCAAATGTTATAGAAAACAAAACCAAATACAGAAACCTAAACCCTTTCTACACCCCTTCTAAATGTAAGTGGAAGAGTCCAACTAGGCCTTTATGTCAATGAGGAGATACTTTGCAGCTGGGGCCTCCTTTTCTTTACTTGCTTCACTCATGGCAGCCTCTCAGGAACTGGCAACTCAAATGAAAAATATATAAATGTACAGAAACCAAACAAGCAAGAAATCACAAAATGAGTCAACTAAATGTGTGCACCCAAATAGTTAACCAATGCCAAATCAAAGTAGAAAAAATGAAATACAGTACAGTAAAATATAAGATTCAATGAAAGAATTACCAGACCATTTGCTGTGTGGTTGCAAATGCGGCCATCACTCTTGGTTAATCTATTGTAAAGTTCAGCTAGATTAAAAGCGGAACTCACAAATACTCAAGGGGGTTATTTCACAGGAAATCAGGCAAAGTATTAAAAATCGCACTATTACCAAGAATCCAAAGTTTAATTCAATAATATTTCAGTATAAATGATAAATAACCCAAAAAACCTTCACAACCAATTTATAAGTACTCTCAAAGTCTCAATTTATATCCGCAAAAAACAAACAAAAATCCCTAATAACTAAAAGTCCAAAACTGTCCATCTCTTTTTATTTCTAATAATAAAGTCCAAACAGGAGTTCCATACGCTCCTGGAACCGTTTAAGTCCAAAGTCCTTTCCAAAACGAAAAATCCAAACTGTATACCCCCCCCCCCCAAAAAAAGATTAGAAAAAGAGTGGTACCACCAAAAATCCCAAAAAAGAAAAATCCACATCTCACCTGAGCGTCTTTCGATGCACACGCCCCTTTTTATTCAGAAATTTCTCCAAGCCAAAATAACCCAGCATATTAATTCCCATCATAATTTTCTAAGCAGTGGAGATTTGAAATAGTATTACCAATTAACTAACTGTTCTACAAGAAAGTTTGTTGTTGGTACACTTTAATGTACTTTATACAAAAACTGAAAAATAACATAGTGGTTATGTTACACTATATAAATGAATAAATATTTAAGTGTGTAAATATTAGGCGTGTTTCTGCTGATGCCAGTTAAGCGCTGCATTCATGAGTGAACTCTGAACAACCATTGAGGAAAAGTTTGGAGACGTTTCGCTTCTCATTCAGGGAACTTTTTCCATTCAAAATGTGTTCAAAAAAAAGCTTCCTGGATGGGAAGTGAAATGTCTTCAAACTTGGAAACAAAGTCCAGTGGATTGTTTTTAATTTTCTTTTTTTTGGGATGACTACGACCTGGACGACTGAGGATCTTCACCAGCATGTCCCTTTAGAACCAGGAGTTCACCAGAAAAACTAAAGACTTCCATTAGTTAATAAAGCAGTGATACTGATGATGAGTAACAGGTTCAGTCTGTTCAGCCAGGCTAAGAAACTATTTTAAAACAGATTATTTAGTTAAAAAAAACAAATCTCAGCAGCATTAGAGAAACAGGAACCAAAACCATGTTCTGCTCTAAGCGAGCTCTGCAGCTTTGCCTCCTGCACATCGCAGTCTATAGTCAGATTACCCATAAAGCTTCTGATGTGTTTTTGTTGCTGCAGGTATTTCCAGTACAAGCAGATGTGGGAATTGTTCCAACTTTCAGGAGAGAAAGACAGGAAAGCTCTTCGTTGGGAGATAAAGGTATGGAAACCCGACTGTGAAGCTGATTAGATTATCTAATCTAGATGGAAACTGGAATCTGCTCAAAATAAAATGCATTTTCTTTTAACTTCATGTTTATGTTTGTTTTCAGGAAAAACTTGCATACCAGCCTCTACCTGTGAGTATCCCCCACCGTAGTGATATAAAATACAATCCTCACAGCTTCCTAGTGTTTCAGCTGGCCTTTACTCTAGGTAAAGCTGAGCAGAAACTTATTCTGACACACAGGTGGATTTCTGCTTGATAAGCCACGCCCCCTGATGCACCTAACGTTTTAGTTCTTTACCTATTTTTAATTTCCGAGGTCTTTTTCACTGTGCATCTTTCTCAGGTCACGTATGGAGGGATTTGTTTTGTTGTTGTAAGTAAATTTAAATTTGAAAAGAAATGCAGAAACGAAACTTAAAACATGTTTAAAAATAGGTTTTTCAGTTTTTATTTGCTCAGATTATTATTTCAAACTTTTATTTCAGATTTTTTTTCTATTTTTTATTGAATTTTTTTTCCTTTTTTTAATATGTATTTCGAATATGTATTTCTTAAATATAAGATTTGTTCTTTATATTGCTTTTCACAGATCATTCTTTTCACTTCGAGCCCAATCCAAACGCTCGCTCTCGACAAAATGTCGCAACTGCCCAGCGGACCAATAGAAATGTATTTTCGCTCCTCAATCCAGAGGAAAGCCCGCCTCCAGAAGTGAAGAGAATGATCAGGAAAAAACAATCTGAGAAAATTGAAAGAAAAAAAACGCTGAAATATGAAAGCAGGAACAATCCAGGCACGGAGGGAAAACTTGGAGCTTAAAAGTAGAAATGAAATGGTTCTAACTTAATTCACAAGATTGTGTCTATTATAAGTGAGCGCCACCTACTGGCTGAGAAGATTTCAACTTTTATCTACCACCTTTAAATAATTCTCTTGACTTCAAATGATCTTTAAATCTTGTGGACATTAAGGCTTCCAGTCTGCAAGCTTTACCTGCTTTGATGGGGAGTGTT